GGCCGAGGTTGTTCTCAGAGCAGTCAAGCCTGAAGTGAAGTGGCAGGCGGCATGCTTCAGGTGATGGGTGACAATGTGTTTATACTTTTTTTCGATGTCGGCTACGAGTTGAAGACCGAAAAGAGAGCGAATGGAATATACAGGGTCCGGCACAAAGGACGGCTGTTTGTGAAATGGCTAGCGTTGTGAGGAGAGTGCCGCTCAACTCGGGCGTTCCTAGCATTCTTACCAGTAGACATTATGGAGCAGTGGGTTCAATCACTTCACACACGTGGGGTACTGATCAACAAAAGGCCACCAAGAGCTCCTCGAACGGTCGAACCCCTGAAAACGTGAAATGCGTTCGACAAGCCCTTCTTCGCAGTTTGGCGCGATGTGCTCGGCAACATGCTGCTGAACTTCGCCTCAGTGATCGTTCTGTAACGCATATTTTGCATATCCACTTTCACCCCTACAAATTGGTCATTGTGCAACAGTTGGAGATTACGCACAACGAATGAACTTCGTACATGAGATGGAAGCACTTAGCGAGCAAAATGAGAACCTCTTTTTGTTCATGCGTGAAACTCACTTTCATCTTAATGGCATGATTAACCAGCAGAGTTGCCGTTATTGGGCTAATGAAAATCCACGACAGTTACATGAAAGACAGCTGCTCACCCCAAAAGTGGCGGTTTGGAGCGCTGTATCGCAAACTTGCATCACCGGCCCTCACTTCTTCGAAGACGGTAATGGCAATGCTGTTACCGTGAACTCGGAGCGCTATGTCGAAATAATCACCAACTTCTTTTCACCTGTATTACGACGACGATATGTTCCAACGTGTGTGGTTCCAACAGGATGGGGCGACCACCCACACAGCCACAGCATCGATGGACGTTATTTGCCCTCTCTCCCGTGGTCGCCTTATTTCCAGGTTTGGCGATGTTCATTGATCTCTTCGGTCCCCAGATTTATCCATCTACCATTTTTCCGTAAGAGGACACCTTAAAGCTCGTATGCAAGCACAAGTCTCGAACTCTGAATGAGTTGAAGGAGGCAATTCGCCCAAGTTGAGAGCTCGATGTTGCAGAGAGTCTACGAACTTTCCCGTGAAAAGAATACAGTATACGAAGTGTCGTGTCGCCGCAGATACGGGCGACATCGCCGTCTTGTATCCCGCCACCTAAGTATAAACGACGTCTTGCCGTCTACCACCCGTAACCTGCCTCCTTGGAGTATAAATGCGGCCTGATACTATTAACAACAAAGCAGTACTAGTTGAAGAATTTTATACAAAGTCCATGTACCATGTCACTTCATTTGTTGTAACTACAGTTTGAAGGATTTGTATTTGTCGACATTTCGTGGTATTTTAACCAGAACTACTAGTCCCCCAGACAAATCTTACTGAAAAGAGCAAAATATGCTTTAGACGTTATTATCGGTATGTATTGACGTAGGCGTAACAGGATCAGTTGAATACAAATAAATTAAATAACCAGCGAAGCATGAATATTTGAAATAAATCAACCAGCTCACATAGCGGAGCAATATAATAATATAAATAATATAGTCTTTGCGCATTCTGCAGAACTTATTTACTATGACCTTTAGCCAGGCCTAATCTCGAATTTTTATATCGGAAACATAAAAATACCTTAGTAATCGTTGCATGAGAAATAATTTCCTCAATATTACGATATGCCATCGAATCTATGACTTATATACGGGGTGGTTCGGATTATTATATATTACACACCGAAAATTGTTCAAATTATTGGAAACAACAATAATAAATAGACGACTTGATATATCACGTATTCAGTATATTGGAGCGCGGTACAGAATGTATTGTATTTTAAATTGTATCCTCATCTACTTTTAATGATTTAATCACTGTTTAGCAGAACCCCGTTTTCAGTAGTAGTTAACGGCACATCTTCGGTCTCACCAGTATTCTCCCTGGTAAGCTAATAGATGAACCCTCTATCATTACCCAGCTACACATATTATTTCAGCAACTCAGTCTTATAACATAAAAGCTCAAAATCGAATAACATTTACTCAAACTACAACCAGAGCTCTCAATTTCCACCCATCTTATCTCTCAATAGATCTCATTGCATCGCATCGGCATACGCGTCCGGAAGGGGGGAGGGGGGGTTACAACCCTCCCCTGGGCGAATCTAGTTTGACCACTAATATTAATGACTTTCGGATCTCTTTGAGGAGTTTGATGAAATAAAGACTTTTGCAAATGTGTAATGGATACAAACGGGTAAAACATTACATCACCAGACTTAGTGAAAAATCACAATACCTGGCAACCCTGGTCAATTTGTAAGGCCATCGATGATGGCGTGGAAATAAGAGGGTTCTGTAAGTCCCTAAGTCTGAAATAGTGATTATGCGTTTTTAGGATTGGTAGCACTGCATGTCCATTAGAGCATTATTGGAAATTGAGCGTCATGTGTTCTGTGATTAAGGTTGTAAATTGAAAATTCATACATTCGGACAGGAGTATAAGAAGAAAACTTTTCGCGCGCCTTTATCGCTGTGAGCAAATTTGACAAAAATACTCTTTGACGGACAAAATCAGAGAAAAGCGGTTTCATTTGATTTGAAGGAGATGGTATCTGCTCAGTCGCCGGAAGAGTATTTTCTTCAGGAACGAATATCCACAGATATTTAAGTCACTTGTACTAGTGAAGATCTAGGAACCGTTAATTTATTCGCTTCGGGGTACTTTTTGACAAAATAGTAGTAATAATAATACGTGTCTTTATTTATAATGATTACATTACAAAAGGGTGAAGTTGAGCTCGTAGCTATTCTTCACCCAAATATAAAAGAAAAAATATAACACCTAACCAAATTATGTGAATCTATTAAAATTTGAAATTAAATCATCAAGCACATACACACAAAAATAATTATTTATGCAGGAGGTGATCTTTCAAATGATATTTAAACCTATTTAAAGACGATGGTTTTAGGTTTTCCGGCATAGAGTTGTACATAGTAACTGTATTAAATGTGAAAGATCAGCTAAATAAAGCTGTCTTCTGGTGTAGCAAGCTGAATAAATGCGGAGATTTAATCTCTATTATGCGAAATACGCGAATTATTCAAGTTATCAGAAATACCAACAATAAAAATAGACGCAGACTTAATTAACCATGTATTCAGCGTTATAGTTAATATTATACCTCATCATAGTTGGAGGTGTCGGAAACATACATAATTTTAATAGAATTTAATATTTTCCCTAAGGAGTGCCAATATTCATGCGTTTCCCAATTGCCTTCCAATTCGGTTGCGTCTTTCCCTGCAACTTACTTTAATGCAATTTATTTAGCACGTTTCTGAAAATTCAATTTATAGATATATCTCCTGGAACCTGTGGTATCTTCTTGGTTGTTCAGTAAAAATGTTTGCACTAACGGAGAAAAGGCATATCTCTATGCAGGCCTCACGCCACTCTACTCGTCATGTTGAAGATGAAAGCGAAAAAGAAACCAAACGAGTGTGTAAATTCCTCTGAAATACGTGTATTAACCGTAAAACCAATATTTATTTCGCAGAAAATTAAAGCTACTACAATTATTATGCTGCTATAATTATTGACTAAACATCAGCGTACCATTGCTTTAAAATGAGTCCACAGGTGGGTATCTAATAGAGGGACAGTTATTCATATTTTCAACTCTATAATGTATTCTATACAAACGCTGTGGACATGGAAGTCAGATTACTGTCATCTTTGAAGATGTGAAATGGATATAATAAAATCTTTGCCTTATACTTACTCATGTCCAGCATCTCCAATAAGTGGTTGAAGCTTCCTGATCCTCTGTTTGGAGCTTTCACCTTTAGATTTACGTGAATGATAGCATAATGGCTGACTTGCAGCATGAGGTTTTATGTTTGAAACGATATTTGTTACTGATGCAACTACTTCCTCAGTGATTGTTTTCTTAAACTGAAAATAAATACTATGTCATATGACGAATATCAACATCGAAAACGAAAAGATTTCATATTTGTTTATCAAATTGTGCATCACTGCACAGTGGGCCAGAACATCCGAAAAGCTCGCATACATCTGGACATGGTCAAAATGGCTATAAAATGAGAAACTTTTCACGGTAAACAAATAAATCTGTTAGGGGTGACTTATAGGGGGCATCGAGTAGATTTTTTGAGAATTTTGCGATATCAAATATATTTATATAAAAAATGTTTAGATATATTGGCACAAATCAGGGTTATATCAAAATATTAAATATTTAAATATCTCCAAATGCAGGATAATTATTCTTAATATTGAAACTAAAAATATATATCGCTGAGATCGTCATCTTCTCCATCGTGTATCAAGCTGCCTCTAACAAGGAAATAACTTTATAACATGTATTTGATTTTTTCGGAATGGACATTGCCGGACATATATTGGCAGAATGTTCCTTTGCTGTCCGCCGATAAGCAAAATGCGAGTGTTTGGTATATTTTGCTTTAATTATAACTGACAAGCTGCTGGGGTGGGTGGAATGATTTCTTTTGTATTCTGATTCCTTTGCCAACCTTTACTCATTTTACTGGCTCTAGTCAAAGTCGTCAATATTGCTTCTGAATCAAGTTTTACGACACTATCTTTTCTTTCGGTATTTTATTCATCTTCTTACAGCCTCTAATTAAATGCCGATGGCAGTTTTGCAGTCTTCCGGCGTTTTGTTCTTTCACTTGCAGAAAATTCTATCGTTGGACGACCCCAGTGACTCTTCTCCATGTGACGTACCTGGTTATGGCTCAGCTTCTGGTTCGATTTCTTCTCGAGTGTATTCAAAAACAAAATGAACATCCAGCCATTCTTTATGTCTCTCCAAAAATCTATCCATTGCAAAATCTCAAATCGATGTTTTTCAATGTTAGCATGGCTTGTTCGTGTTTGTAGTGTCCTGCCAGGTAATTGCAAGGATCTGAACGTCCTAAAGACTCCTTTTCATACAAGACGTCAAAGAGTTGTCTTCTTGTCGCATTTTTTATTTAAAAATATAAATTCTACTATATAAGTAAACAGAAAATAATTTTCAAGACAAAACTAAAACAAAGGTCAGAATCGTCACTTCAAAACTAAAAGACTAACTTCATCTTTGGTTAAATCGAAAAAATATATCTACAAGAAATGAGATCTTACAACTGAAATAAGAAATAGTAGTAAGTAATGATTTCCGAATACATAGTCATGAACATGAACTATTGGAGCTACAGTAATGGACAAAAGTGTATAGACAAATACGAATATTTACCTAAATACCTTTAGAAAACGAATTCATACTTCATTGCTCCATAAACAAATGCGTTATTGGTAGAAAAACTAAATTCGTTGTTTTTACATTATCTGCAATGAACACAATACAAGTCTGAATATAAGCACTTTTTTATGAGGGACAAAAATATGTAGACAAATCCTTTTCAACATTAGTTTAGTACAGTTTCGTGTCAGAAGAGGATTAGTTTGTGTTCATCAAGCACTGTGGAATAAGTTGAGTGATTTTAAGACTATGCCGCGTGGTCCAGAAATTTCTTTCGATGTGAAAACTAAGATCATTGAGTTATACAAAGATGGTCAACGTCAAGTCGACATTGCCAAAAATTTGAAGCTGCAGCGTAAAGCAGTTTGGGCAATATTGAACAAATATAAACAACAAGGTATCTTGGAAGCCTCTAAGAGAAGTGGTCGGCCTAGAAAACTAAATGCTAGATGAGTTAGATTAATAAAAGTAATTTCGTCCAAATATCTGTTTAAAACCACAAGACAAATAACTATACGTAGAAGATTAAATGATTTGAAGTTATTTGCACGTCGCCCGAGTAAGAAGCCGTTAATCTCGAGGAAAAACCGTAAGGACAGATTACAATTTGCACGATTGCATCTTGATTGGAGCATCTGTGACTGGAAAAGGGTATGTTTCAGTGACGAATCCAAGTTCAATATGTTTGGATCAGATGGTGTTCATTACGTTAGACGTCCTAGTGGAAAAAGATTGAACCCCAAGTACACTTTGCCCACGGTCAAACATGGAGGCGGGTCTGTTAGGGTTTGGGGGTGCTTTTCGGGGTTTGGGATAGGACCTTTACATAGAATAGATGGCATTATGGATAAGTTTGTATACACAGGCATACTAAAGCATGTCATGTTACCCTATATGGAAGACAATACGCCCTTAAGATCAATCTTCCAGCAAGATAATGACCCGAAGCACACTTGAAATCTCGAAAAGAAATTCTTTCTGGATGAAAAAATACCAGTTCTCAAATGGCCTTCACAGTATCCCGTTATAAACCCCATTGAAAGCATAGATAAGCAAATACGAGATAAAAATTATTCAAACAAGGATAAACTTTTTGCCGCTTTAGAGCAAAAGTGGAGACAGATTGTTGAATCTTATATATATCAAGAAACTTCTACAATCTATGCCGAGACGATGCCAGGCGGTAATTGATAATAATGGTTATGCTACAAAATATTAACACAAACATGGTTGGTTTTCTATAATTCAATGAACTTTGCTTCTTTTTCTATAATTGTTTTGCTTTCTCTATATATTTTTGTCCTTCATAGTTCCAGTTTTTTCAATTAATTTTTTATGAAGGGAGTCTAATGAATTTATTTATGTATAAGTGAGTATTATGCTATAACGAATTATGTATACAGCACAGAAATACAGCACAATATTAATTTGTCTATATGTTATACTTTTGTCCATTACAGTATGTTATATAAATTGTTTGAAAGTGTGATCTTGAGTGTCAATTTTTGTGGCTCTACACAAACTTAAATTAGAAAATAAATATTTCCTCAAAATCAACTACAAACTTATTTTATTTATATGTCTACAAAATTATTTTTATGTCAGATGTATATATACAATATGAAAATAGCAGCTTATAACACACAAACACCAATTGCAAGTTCATAGTACAATTAAGGAAGGGTTGTGTCTGTAGGGATACTTAGAAAGCCCCTGTTTGAGATTACCTAATGATCTTTAAACCTTTGAAAATCTGGGAAAATATGAATTGCTATTTTTTCTAAGTACCTGGAAAGTCTGCTGATGATATTTTCAGATTATCTGGCCCATTGTGCAGGAATGAAGAAAGGTCAGTAAACTCTACACAGAATTCACTCCAAAATTAAGAATAATTGGCAGTCAGATTAAGGGCGCCTGTGTCGTTTTCAATTTAGTTCTTGTGATAGAAAATTTAGATTCAGCATTCCCAAAATAAATCCCGGATTGCCTTTAGGGAAAAATACTCTACTTCAACCTTCTATAATTCTGGGATAAGCATATTTTTATATGCTATATGCTAATTTTTGGAATTATTGATTGGAGAACATTTAGCAACCCAAGCCTATCAGTCAGACTGGTCAAACCACCATCCCTCATTTCCATTCCAATAAAATCATACTCTACATTTCCAGAAATAGTTTCAAAGTTCATCCGTGTCTTTCTCGAACCAAAAAACGCTGAGTGTTCTACAGCATTAGATGGTTCATATCGTATCTAAAGTAGCCATGATTCACTGTTGTTTAGCTTCACTAACGTCATTGTTTAAAATTAGATTAGAAATTGTTACCTTCACGGCCTCGTCGATCACAGATAGAAATTGTACGATCGTGTCTATAGCAGACATTTTTTGATCTACGAAATGTCACAATCAGCTGCAAACAACTAAGTAAGACTATAAAGAAGTTCAAAAAACAAACTACAATGAAAATAATCTAATTCATTATTCAATAATTGAGTTTCAATAAAAACAAAATGAATCATGTATATCAAAGTTCACAAAATACGTTGGAACGTAATTATATTTATCGTTAAAAATATGTGCAGTAATTTTACAACCTAGAAATGTCACAAAAATGTCGAAAAGTAGGTTCACGTTGTATATTCTGTTCAACTTATGAATTTATTCAGAAATAAAAATTTCGATGGGGCTTGGGTGCTGTCGATTGAGAATTGTTGTATATTCAGTATTGTTCAAGCATGTCACTTATTTCCGTAGGTTTCTGTCAGTCTATCCGTTACCATCCGGTAGGCCTTGAATATTTTGACGAAATTCCAATCCAGCGGTGGTAGAATTATCGTCAAAAAATAAGAGAAAAATACTCAAAGTTCTTGTCCTTAGTAAAATAATAATAAATTTGCGAAGTTGGTTGACTATGTACCAGAAATGTTGTTTGGGCGTTAAACCAAATTTCTCAACTCCTGATTTACTGACGTATATTGCAAATTCTGAAAAGATGAAAAATCGAGAAATCTTGCAATTAAAGCAAATTAAAAATAGTAGAGAGTCAACTTGTGACACCATTTTTTAAAGCATATCATTACTGCTTCCTCACCTGATCCATATAGGAAACAAACCACTCTGGCGGCGACTCAAAGTTGCAACAGGTGGATGCAAGTGAAACAGCTTCATTGTTATCAAACTGTGTCTCTACATCATTAGACAGTCTAACTTTTTTCATGCAGGACTGCTCTGCAGAAATTCTGTCCAATTTGAGGTTTACAATGGCACCCATTCGTGCTTTGCGTCGGAAAGCATACAGAGCAATTTGGAAGTCTGTTTGAGACTCTATGGGAAATTCTCTGTTGCTGTCTGTGATGTATGATACTTTCACGTCATCTCCTACTGTGCCAGAGTTCTTGAGCTGCAAAGAAAGATGATTCTTTAGAAAGAACATGGTGGGGTGTTTCAAATTTGACCCTTACCATTGGGATCTCGGAAATGGTAAGAGATATGAGGTCACTTAATTATTTATGATTAATATTGTTATTACTATCAATAAAATTTTCAATTTGTGTTGAGGCTTCACCATAGCTTTTTATTTCGTTTTAATTCACATCCAAGGACAAATAATAATAATAATAATAAAATGTCTTTATTAGGCACGTTATATACACTACAACATAATGTGACCTCTACGTAGGCGAAGTCTAGCTCTTGGCTACTCTACTTAACCTACCCAAATACCAAATTGAAACACTCAATCAAAGGAAACTTTGACAAGCAAAAGACGCTTCAAAACAACGAGCTTGATAGCTTCCTAGCATACATATATACACACATATATTACGTAAAATAAAATAAAATGTAAGAATTAAAAACTAACTTTTCCACAATTACTACAATGACAAATAAATCTGCTTCACATGCTTACGAAATCTGTTTACTGGCCAATCCTTTATATTGTCATCTAATTCGTTATAAATCAGGATAGCATTGTAAGTGTATGAACTACGAAATAAAGTTCTATGGCCAACTAAGGGAATAAATACATCACTGAAAAATCCATTTAAATGTAAAAATTTCCAATATAAGGTCCATATGATGAAACAAAGTTGGTGATGGAAATGGTAAGAAGAAGTAACAATGACAACATGCAATTTATTCTGAAATCACATCTCTCATCTGATATGCGAAACAAATGACTACGAGGGATGTCTTTGCATATGAAAATAAAACAACACAATAGGTAGTTTTAAATGACCTTATCGTTTTTCGAAGTATTCTCCACGAAGATTAATATACATCTGCGTGCGCTCGAACCAATTTTCGAAGCACTTATTCCATTCGTTTGCTGGCAGATCCAAAACGGCCTTTTTGAATGCGTCAACTGCTTCTTCTGGTGACTGGAACCTTTGGCCACGCAGTCTGTTTTTAATTTTCGGAACGTAAAGAAATCGTTAGGACTATATGGAGGATGGTCCAATAATTCCACGTTTTCTTCCGTTAAATACTGCCTTGTTTTTTGGGCTGTGTGCGAGCTTGCATTGTCTTGGTGGAGGATGATTCTTCTTTCGGGGTTGATTTTTCGAAGCTCGGTGATGACTTTTGGCAAACAAATGGTGGTATACCAATACGCAGCAGCAGTTCTTTGCTCATTAAGAGGAATTATTGCAATATGACCCGCTTTTGACACAAATGTCGCGACCATCTTTTTCGAAACGCTTCGAGAACGGATGACTTTTGTTGGCTTTTCTTCACCTTGGAACACCCAAACAGCCGACTGTCGTTTATTTTCTGTTTCATAACAGTAAATCCACGATTCATCACCACTAACAATGCTGTACACATTTTTTGAGTTTCTGGAATTGAAACGGTCAAGCGTTTTTTGACACCAATTAACCCTAGCTGCTTTCTGCTCTTCAGTCAACAGGCCGGGTGTCCAACGAGAAACTAATTTTCTTACTCCTAATTCTTCAAGTAAAATTTTTTGAATTGAGGTCTTTGAGATCTTCAAGGACGCCTCAATCTCGCGATATGTCACATGACTATCTTCAATGATGAGTTTGCGCACAGCATCGACTTTTTCCTGGGTGACTGCCGTTTTTTGTGATCGTCGCTAAGACTCACCCGTCCACGTTTGAATTCTCCATACCAACGGGAAATTGTCGACTGATGTGGCGCTTCGTTACCGATAACAGACAGTAACTCAGCAAAGCATTCTTGTTGCGATTATTGTCTCTGAAAGTTGTTATAAATTATGGCGCGAAAATGTTCTCGGTTGAGTTCCATTTTTCTATTGACTTGGTAACACTTTAAAAATTCACTGTAGTCAGAACACTGCACGTATTGTTGTGAAACTTTGAATTTAAGTTTAATAAAGAGTGAGGTTAAGATTCAGTACTGACGTTCGATCCGCGCGGCCTACAATGTTTCTATATGCAAAACTTAAAAGACATCCCTCGTATCTGATAATTTCAAGCCTACCTAAAATTCTGCTTTTTTGGAATAACTAAGGTTTATCAACCTCAATATGGCATCTGTAATAAAAAATGAAGTTGATGCTGGAGAACAGGAGACGAAACATTCTATTGAAATTCTAATTATGCCATCTTGTAGAGGAGAAAAAGAGGCAATGTTAATGTGCAATTTGTTTTGAAATTCCACTAGAATTAAAGTCAGGAAAATATTAAAACGATTTTGGGAAAATCCGGCTTTGTTTCGTCTCTCTCCGGAAGTACTTTGAATTCCGAAACTTTCCAAGCGGCATTTTGCTAGTTATCTGAATGCACAACTTTGCTCCCATTTAATCGCCTTCGTATCTCTTACCGTTTCAGAGATCGAATTTGAAACATTCGGTATTATTTTGTCATTCTGAAGAAAAGTGGAATATGATGAGTCTAAGAGCTAATGTCATAATGCCCAGTTTGTAAATAATATCTGGTTAACGTCATATAAAGATCGATTTGATTGTGGAATGATCAAAAAAGGTTTGAAGTACTTTGATGGAGTGACTAATAGTGCCTGGAGAAAGAAATGTTAATGATGAGGTATTTGGTGAAACTGACAAAAATGGCAAGCCAGAATTCCTTATGAGGTGTTATCATGTGCCGTGGGTGGAGTGCACTGTATAAGCTTCCTTCAATAGCTTAGGTCTGGCGATGTTAGCCAGCGTGTCAGAAGAATAAATTGCGAGGAAGATGGAGCACTTGAAAGAAAGATAAAATCTGATGTACAGAAAAAAGTACTGTTTATATATGGGAATGAATACTGATGATCAAAATGTAATTATATGGAATAAGTCAGTTGAAATGGTATACATACAAGATAATGAGAGCAGAATGGAAAACATGTTTATGGAATTATGAAGGAGGATTGGAGAACCCGTGATGAGGGAAGTTAAGAAAGGTAGTTGTAAAAGTAAGGATGTTATCAGTAAGCAGTTGGGTCTCTAAATGTAATCAAGGTAATTTTTTAGTATAGGCTCGATCGGTAATTCTGTTATTATGCATCGTATCTAAAAAAAGTTAAATACAAAAATTGTAGCCAACAGTGTGTTCCTGAATTAATAAATATTTTTATCTTTACAGGATGATTCATAACTATGTGGTTACACAATACGAGGGATGTCTTTTAAGTTTTGCATATAGAAACATAGTAGGTCGCTCGGATCGAACGTCAGTACTGAATCTTAGAGAAAATTTTCGCGCCATAATTTATTACAACTTTCAGAGACAATCATCGCAACAAGAATGCCTTGCTGAGTTACTGTCTGATTTCGGCAACGACGCGCCACATCAGTCGACAATTTCTCGTTGGTATGGAGAATTCAAACGTGGACGGGTGAGTCTTGGCGACGATTCCAGGGTGGGTGCACAAAAAACGGCAGTCACCCAGGAAAACGTCGATGCTGTGCGCCAACTCATCATTGAAGATAGACACGTGACATATCGCGAGATTGAGGCATCCTTGAAGATCTCAAAGACCTCAATTCAAAAAATTTTACGTGAAGAATTAGGAGTAAGAAAATTAGTTTCTCGTTGGATACCCCACCTTTTGACTGAAGAGCAGAAAACAGGGTTAATTGGTGTCAAAAAACGCTTGACCGTTACAACTCCGGAAACTCAAAAACAGTGTACAGCATTGTTAGTGGTGATGAATCGTGGATTTACTGTTATGAACCAGAAAATAAACGACAGTCGGCTGTTTGGGTGTTGCAAGGTGAAGAAAAGCCAACAAAAGTCATCCATTCTAGAAGTGCTTCGATAAAGATGGTCGCGACATTTGTGTCAAAAGCGGATCATAGTGCTACAATTCCTCTTAATGAGCAAAGAACTGTTACCGTGGATTGGTATACCATCATTTGTTTGCCAAAAGTCATCACCGAGCCTCGAAAAATCAACTTACTTTCCCGAAAATTGAAAATAGACTGGGTGGTCAAAGGTTCCAGTCACCAGAAGAAGCAGTTAACACTTTCAAAAATGCCGTTTTGGATCTGCCAGCAAACGAGTGGAATAAGTGCTTTGAAAATTGGTTTGAGAGCATGCAGATGTGTATTAATCTTCATGGAGAATACTTCGATAAACAATAAAGTCATTTAAAACTATGCACAACTGTTATAGCTAGATAAAAACTGAAGTTTTCGTCAGAAAAATTGTGTGATGTCATATTATCTTCCATATCTACTTATTTTTCCAGTTTTTTTATAGTTTATACATGGTAATAATAATATTCATGTTTATTTGTAAAATACAATTAGTCTGAAATAAAACAAATAAACATACAGTACCCACAGAATGGGACACCCTGTATATTTTTCACATTTGTTGATTCCCCTTTTAACAAGGTGATAGTGATAGGTGTATATAGGTTTGTGCGACAGAGAAGAAAGTAGGACCTTTGTTGTGCAGAAAAGATATTATGGATAACATCTGTCTCCTTGTTCAGCGAAGACCATCTAAAACTACAAAGAATTTTTTGATTCAATTTTGAACTGCTACTTTGATAGGCAAAAAAGAAGACAGAAATGAAGCAGATAGCATGGATGCATTAATGGGGGTTTAAGAGAGGGGGATAACAGAAAGATGGCAGATTAAGATACCTCTGAAGGGTGACAATTGTATGAGATATGCTTGCTGCTCCTCAGCTTCAAGACAGAGAAGGTAACTATGAGTATTGAGAATTTTTCAGATTATATCATTGGATTGAGATAAAGAGGGTTTAAGAATGGAAGTGGTGAGGAGAATGCAAAGCATGCAAAGGAAACAATATAAAATTAGTGATACTATTCATTTGAATAGTAAAAGTTTTCAGGTTATTAGGCAAAGTTATCTTCAAGTCAAGATCTGGGTGGCAGCAATATGGAAAACTTCATTCAAAATATCTAATGTGTGACAACATAGTAATATTTTAAGATACCAATGCTTTAGCAAGATAATTTCAGCTGAATTATTCAATCTATTCCATGTATTAATATAGTTAAAAATTCAAAATAATATCATAAAATATATAAAGCTCATCAGACATATCAATATGCTCCATATTGTAAAATTATCTCTAACACATTGCAAATTGATGCCTCTGATGGAACACTGGTATTTAATCAAGGTCCAAAAACAACATCCAAAAGACCAGTAACTATTTTCAAAAAAAAAACTAATTCATTTAGAATAACAGCACTACATTTTAGAATATTATTTTAATGCACCCAGTTTCAGCATATATGAGCCCCTTCCCACTTCAGTTGGCCCAACTATTGAAATCTCTCTTTTTTCTTATCAAACACAAATAATAAAAATGTAGCAGGGTGTTATAGGTTTAAAATATTAACAATGAATATTTTGATAATATATAGTAGAAAACACCAACTTTATCACTCCCTAATCAAATTTGCAGCATGAAAATAACACATGTTGCAATTACAGCATATCAACCTATTTTCATTTCAATGCAAAATAAGTCTATAATGCATAGGTGGCTGTGAAAAATAAAAGCCATGACAATTGTTTTTATTAATCACAGCTGTCAGAATACTTTAAAATAGTTTTGGGTAGTTAAGGTTTTCAAAATGGGTAGAGGAAAGGTTATTAGTGAGAAAATTTGGTTACTGATAATTAAATTTTTTAATTCTGGGAAATCAAACTCAGAAATTGCAACTTTGTTAGACATATCACGGTACAGTGTGAGAAATATTGTTAGAAGATATAACATAACTGGTTCAGTTAATATTAAGCCACCATATGTGGAAAAAAAGTAATATCACAAGATGGTGCAGTATGCCATACCTCAAAAAAGGCTATAAAATGGATAGAAGAAAATAATGTACCACTTTTGAAATGGGTTTCTAGCAGTCCAGATCTGTCACCTATTGAAACTTTGTGGCACGAGATGAAAAAGGTTCTACAACAACATCCTGCTCGTACAATCACCGAACTGAGACAAAAGCTTCAAGAAATATGGGATTGTATTACACCAAATTTTTGCCAAAACTGGGTTAACACTATGCCCCAAAGAATTTCAGCTGTAATAAAAAATAAAGCTGCTGTTACCAATGGTAATCTTTCATTTTTTGCCTTGTTAACTTCGCGCATTTATTCGCACATTGTTTATTTGTTCAGATGTTCTATCAGTTATAGGTCTAAATGATTTCAAATATGTATTTTTTACGACTAGAGTGTATCTAAAATGTTTTTGAGAAAATAAATTGTTTTAGAAGTAAATAGTTTCGCCATGATTAGTTTATAAAGGCATATTTTGGTACAAATTTTGAAGTGGGCCAACTGAAGTGGGAAGGGACTCGTAGTTTGGAAAACATCCATTTTTCCAAATTGTACAATGGACTCTACTGCTCTAAATATTTAAGCAATTGTATTTAGAAAACAGATATCTATCATTTGATGAGGAAAAAAGTATGAAAAGAAATGCTCAGAGTACGTTTCTCCTTAGCTTTTTCATAATTATTGCTTATCATTATTTGTTAATCATCATCGTCAGCAAAAATAAACAGTTTGTAGAAAGTGTTATGGCCTCAGGGTGCCATTTTATACGTTTGTTTAAGAACAAGTTAACCCGCACAGCATTAATTAAATAAATAAATGCAACACTTACCAAATACGATTTGAAAACCTCCCAGTTCAAAGTGGTAGAAGGAATATCGTACATTCCTATGATGTTCGCCTTGTCGCTACCACCATTTTCTGGTTTCGTCCTCCATTGCAGGCTGTAGATGATTTCCAGGTCCTTCTTTTTGGTATTCATCTTTGGATTCTCACTAAGAGTGAGGTGTTTTTTCATAATCACAATGATTTGTTATAAGACCGTAAATGCAACGATTTCCGAAACTAATAATGGCTGCGCAAAATATCTCCTGTCACTGTTTCACAACAAAGCATCAAATCAAAACAGCTAGGGACGCGTAAATGTCAAACACACATGATAATAGAGATGTACGAAAAGAGCTAACACGAAGAACAGTTATTCACAAAATCAATCTTGCTAATATTTTTTATTCTCATATTAGTTTGGTGCCGGGACGTTGTAGTTGAACCTAAATAGATTAATACGTTACAAAAAATGCCAGTTGTCAGAACAAATCGTTGCTCGATTCACCAGTACGCAGTCCTTAATCTATACATCTCTAATGTCTACATGATAGAGATGTTAAGTCGACCATATTCACGTTCGATGTATTAGAAATTGCAAGCATAATATCGATGCTGTAACCATCGTATGCATACTCAAACTTTGTTCTAAAGCTCAAACTTGATGGGGTACAAGGACAAACCTGTAAAAGAAAACAAAAAAATTATTGGAGCTATAAAAAGGCGCTAAATTTCAAACATGTCTTTGACGTTGTTGCCAAATGACAGCTTCCGACAGACTTTGGAATTGACAGTCACATTTCCGTTGTGTTTTGTTCTTTTCCGACAGAATGGCCATGCAGCAGCAACCGCAAAAGGTAATTTTAATGAATTTCTTTCTGAATAATTCACATTTAAAACACGACCTACCTAAAAAGTCTAACATTTTTTCAGAAAAAGGAGCCCATCCACTCAGTCCAAGTTTTTGGAAGGAAGGTGAGTTACTTTGGCGAAACAGTTAAAAGTCGCTCTAACCTAAAAAAAACGTGTCTGCTGAAAGCTCCAATGTTTCTTTATTTTTTAGAAAACTGCTACAGCTGTAGCGTATTGTAAACGGGGCCGAGGTGTACTCCGAGTAAATGGAAGGCCCTTGAACCAATGGGAACCCAAAATGCTGATGGACAAATTGTATGAACCCATCTACCTTTTGGGAAAGGTAAGACCCTTTTAGAGATATGAACATCCTTCCTTGCAGAAATGAGAGCTTATTCAGAGTAAATTCATGATGGGAGAAAATAGACTAGGACCCTTAGTATTGTCTGTTAACTTCACAGTTTTCATATAATAAGTTCAATCTGCTGGCTTAGAATTGCCAAATTATGACAGGAAAGATATATTGTGATGAAGCTTTTATCCCGAATATGAGCTATCATGCTTTGAGATTAAACATTTCACTGACTGCTCATCTAAAATAGGTTTATTTGTTGTTAAAGATAGTTGAGATTAATTTAGTAATGTTTACAGGACAAATTCTCTTCTGTGGACATCAGAGTAAGAGTCAATGGTGGTGGTCATGTGGCCCAAATTTATGCAATCAGGCAGGCCATCTCAAAAGCATTGGTAGCCTATTACCAAAAATGTAAGTATTAGAAGTATGACAAAATTGCTGATAAGCTAAAAAAGTGAGAACTTTATATTGAGTAGCATAAATTACTTCTGTAACTGTAACAGAACCTAAGGTGCAGCATTGCCAAATTCTTCGCAAGGAATTATCGTACAAACATAAAATTATAGTATATTAGGTCAAGGAGGTCAAACTTACAAGTCAAACATTGAGTTGACTTCAACTGGCATAGCACTGGGAGGTATACTTGGGCCCATTTTGTTTGTAGTTTTTTTAAAGAATCTCTGTTTTGTTACTAGTGGGGATCAGAGCAAGCATAAAATTATCTGCTATGCTGATGACACAAATTTAGTGTTGGGTGGGACAAGTATAGAGGACCTAACTGCTAATGGGAATCTCTTATTCAGAAGTGTGAATACATGGTTTTCTGAGAACAAACTAGTGCTGAATAAATCCAAAACTGATGCAACATTATTTAGAACTAAGCAGAGTAAAGTTGTTAAGCCACAATGTATCGATATAGATGATCATCAACTGCAGTTGAGTGAAAGTGTAAAATTCTTAGGCATCTATATTGATGAATTTTTAGATTGGACAACACTGAACTGCTGAAGAGGCTAAATTCCATTTGCTATGGTTTTAGGGTGATATCAAGATATCTAAATAATACGAGTATGAAAATATTGTACCATGCTAATTTTGAAAGTGTTCTAAAGTATTGGATTATTTTTTGGGGACGCAATAGGTTTAATTAAAAAAATTTTTTGTTTTAAAAAGAGCAGTACGTCTGCTAAAGGGGCTAAATTTCAATAAAACTTGCAGGGGGGTGTTTAAAACTGAAAAAATCATGACTATGTATGCCATCTATGTGTGTGTCTTATATTTTTTTCAAAAATAAAAATTTATTTGTGCTTGAGGTGCAAACTGTTTATGATACTCGAACAGTCAATGTTACTTATCCGATACACAAATTATCCTCCACAGAAAAAAGCCCTATTTACATGTGTTTAAAACTTTTTAACAATCTACCAAATGAAATTAAAAACATAGGTTTACATAAATTTAGAAAGACTATTAAGCAATTTCTAGTACAGTCAGAGCCTGATACAATAGATGAGTTCTATGGGAGTTTTAATAGTATGACATAGTAGCTGTTTTAAGATAAATAACCATGTAACACAAAAAAATGTCTCAGGTAAACTACTATAGTTATGGTGGTAGTAACGCAACATTTCATTTTGTAGTGGCTATACAATTTTTGTAATGTCATTGTACAATTTGGAATATAGATTATCATTTTTATTACACCGAGCCTTAGGTTCTCTCAGAATTCATGATGAAGGAAAATTTCCGTCTCGGGGGGCTCTTTTGTTTCCCACTCTTTCCTATAAGCTTGCTGTCTATGTTTGGCTTTCTTCAAAGATTCCGCTCCTTTTTTTTGTTTTCTGTATTCCAGAGACATATTATCGTTATTTAATTGAAACCAGTTAAATATAGAAAATAACTGAAAATGATCTTTTGATTTTTAAGTTTCAAAATTCATAAAAACGGGAGACGTCATTTCATCTAATGCACATGGGTAAATAAAAATATGCACATCATGTCAATACATAGAAGGTAAGAACTGATTGACGGCAAGTTTTCCTGTTGATGTTTGCCGAGATAGTCCGCATAATGCTAGGCGACCCATTATACAGAGTGGAGTATGCGCGCTTGTCTACCAAGCGGCAACACTGACAGCTGCTTGCTGGTGTTAATTGAACGTAGTAGTTAGATTGATTTAATATCAGTGAGTAAAAAAGCTCATTCGCAAAATTATCGTACATTCAGGTATTATCCTGCACATAGTATCCTAGAGTACTTGAAATTATCGTACAGAAATGATTTTATCGTACGTCTGGCAATGCTCCTTAGGTGAAAGATGACATATTACAAACCATAGGCATATGTCATAGGATAAGTATTTACTGTGATCTGTCAGTATTTATTATGAAATGTGATATTTACTGTGTCGCCTAGACATTGGTAGTTATTGATGGATGAAGTTACATATAATTTTACTGACACTGGAACAATCATCAGTAAATACCAAATACTGATGCCACAGATGATAATAAATACTGATCATGTGACATTTGTCTTAGGAATTTAACCTTTTAAAACACTATTCAAATTATATAGAGAGTTTCATACTTGAATGTCAATATTGAAGGGGGCAATTTTTGTGTCAATTCTAAAAGGAAAACTTCATAAAAGTCTTAACTTTTGAGATAAATTATGGTAAAAGCTCCAAAAATAAGTAATTTATCATCTGTAAATACCACTTCAGATATTTTAATGGAATTTGGCACAATATTAAGTAGAATTTTTTACATGTACTACATATTTACATGAGTGGTATTTGTATGGAATTTCATCTGCCTATTTTGCAGACTTTGATGGTACACCACTGTTTTCTCTTAAAATAAAAATTATTCTTCAAATCCAGTCATTTGTAAGCAAATTTGTATGGTTTTTGCTCAAAGAAATTAAATATTTCTCCCCATAATCATACCTTTATTATTGGAATATCACCATGTAGGTTTTTTTAAGAAAAGTCATTGGCATGTTACTGACATTTTTTATTGAAAACTTTACCATTCTATATCTGAAAAGTTGAGATGTTTGGAATGGATCAAAAAATTTCCACCTTAAACCTATTATCTTTTTAATATTCACATTTTTCAGATGTTGATGAAGCCTCTAAAAAAGAACTGAAAGATATCCTCATCCAATATGATAGAACACTCTTAGTAGCAGATCCACGTAGATGTGAACCTAAGAAGTTTGGTGGTCCAGGTGCAAGAGCACGCTACCAAAAATCTTACCGTTAAGGTATAATGGACATACTGTTATGTATTTTTTTGTAAGAATAATAAATAACTCTAATTGAAAACATGTTCTTTATTTCGTTTTGAACCTAATTGTACGAATTCTCATTTGACATATGATACTGACCACTTTGTAAATCAACTTGTCACTGCCCTCATGTTTTTTTTACCCATTACATTAATCAATGAGGAACTTGGTAGCAAGTATTATCTTGAAGAATATGTTATCTTTTTTGTTTGGACTAGGAAAATGTTATATAACCATTAGCTTCAACCTTTTTGTAGATAAAAAATCGGTTCAGTGTTAAACAAGGATTTGCTACTGCTAGTGCTCTGTAGTGGCTAAATTATTTACTATTGTAAAAGTGGTTATATGATGTGATAAAGCTACCTAGATGAACAACTTATTTACAGTGTATAGTTCAATATGTTAAACAGGTAAATATAAAATAACAAAATTGTTGCATTTTGTCTACGTGATAATTGTTTAAAACATAACCATATGGTAGGTACTTCTGTTATGTGCTAATATATTCAGTTTTATAAAACTAAATGAAATTGAATTAAAAAAAATGATTTTCAATATTTACTAACATGAAGAGCTGTCTACATGAATATAATATAAGCACTAGATTGTAAATAAAATGCTATGAAATTATCCTGAAGGTAATTAAAAATTTGAAAATACTAGAGGTGGGTAAAAAGCTAGTCGAAGTCGATATTTAAATTGAATTCTTCTGAGATTCCCAAATATCCTTTCACGAATTAACTTTATATATAGAATGATGATATTTAGCTTCAAATGTGCCTTGAGAACACTAAAAACGTTTGAAAACGAAAATATTTCGCAACATGAGGAATCGATCCCTTTCACACAATTTGTTCCCATCCCAACCGGGCCAGATGCAACGAAATCGCTTCACCAGATTTTCTTTCTGCACATGCGTACTCATTCCGCGCAAATGTCAAATTTTCTCCCACTTACTAAGAATAAAACGTTTAAGGTAGCGTTACACTACCTAATAGGATATTGTTTTATTACTTGATTCCTTTGGAAGACAAAAATGTTTTCAGAACATCAGGAAGTTACCTATTTGAAAGCTAAAGAGGAACACCGCATATGCTAAGAAAATAAACACATACAATTAGAATATATTAAAAATCTATTCTTATACCTACTTGTAGGTCACGGCTTCGCGACGTCTTTTTTCTGAGGATAATTATGGATTCCAAGCTTACTTGGCAACTGCATATTGACTTAATATGTAAAACTCTCAAGTCATATTTTGTCATCTTAAAATTGAAGCACTGTGTAACACAAGCAGTATTGCTTAATGTTTACTATGCGATGGTATACTTTCATCTGTGAAGAGCCATAATAGTTTGGGAACCAGCCCGTATTGTGAACAGGGCATTCACAATTCAAAAAAGAATAGTGTGATACCTAGGCGTGAATCTTGTAGGTCTGCATTCAAGAGTAATAATCTACTAACGCTTCCGGCAGTCTATATCTTTAACTGCGCTCTATAATGCATTCCACAACAAATGTAGGTTTGTTAAAAATAAATATGTGAATTGTTCGTTACCACACAAGAGCTGGCATGGATTTGAGGATACCATCACATGCATCAACAATGTTTGAAAAGTCACATGAGTATGCCTCTATAAAAATCTATGATAAGCTTCCCGCTGAGCTTAAAGGACTTAAGAATGTCATAATACTTAAAAAACGCCTAAAGAGGTATCTTGTGGAGCCGTGCACTACTCAATAACATACTTTTTATGAGTTTGTTATTCATTCTTTATTATAAATTAAGCATAATATATTTTAACGTGTCTATTGTTTCAATTAGCTATTGAAACTGTTTTATTTAACGCGACTCTATACCCTTTTTACGTACTTGTCCAATGTAATAAGCATCTACTTTATTACATTTTAGATATTTATGCAATAAACACAGTTTGTGTAAAATGTCAATAAACAACTATGACTATAACTTCACAGTTCCACTTAATTTTTATAATAAAGCTTATAACCATCTTATTTTTAATTTGTAATGATATGTTTATATGATATGCATCAAGAAATAAAAATATAATTTTCGACAATATCACTATTTTTTCAAAATATTATTTTATAGATAACATTTTTATCAATAGTCATTGAGAAATCGTCAACAAGTGAGGTGTTTGACTTTTATATATTTAGATTTTCTAATCGGACGATAATATAAACATGACTTGTCCAAATGATAAAATAAATAATACATCATCATATTGCGATATGATCCAATAGTCTTCCATTTGCTTGATGTATTTTTGTTAAGGTGCAAAACCACCTTTACCTTTCGCGCAACCGTGCTCAATGCACTGTCTCTTACGTCACAATCGGGTGAAGTCGATCTTTTACGTGTCCATTTCTTTGGCCTCCTCGTTCCCGATAACTTGATTTTGGCGCTGTTCTGCTCTGCCTGTTCGTTGGTCGTTGGTAAGTCGGGTTGGTGATAGTGCAGTTTCTTCTGTGCAAAATCTGATTTTTCCTTTCTAAGTACGTGCCATCCATAAGTATAACGTGTGAAATTCCCTTATTGATTGCTCTACTATAGTGTTTTCGTGCAGATTTTTCAGTTTTATAGGGTATATTTCCTAATCGAGGTCTTACATAAAAAGTCTAGATGGCCGCGTATACGTAACATCGTACACCGGGGCGTTTCAGACAAGACGTCAAATTTAATTGTTGGCTGACACTCCAAATTAGAACCTGCTTCTGCTTGGATTACGCCGATTTTTGAATGAATAGTCCAAATTTTATACATATCGTGACATATATATTACGTAACCGGGGTATCTTGAACTTTAGTTCTTATGATTTTGACATCTTGACCTGGAGACATTACTAATATAAGCGTTATTTTCCAGGCTTTAGGATACAAAAAATAAACACAAACATGTTCGCCTGTGCTAGATTGATTGCCCCTGCCACCAGAAGCGCAGTAAGTACAATTTTAAGTTGGATCAATTTTTGCCTGTAAAGACCATTGTTGCAAGTTGTGTGATATCCCTTGCACCTAGCATATGTTTTTCCCTTAAGAACAGATTGTTCTGCAAGAAAAGTATCAACATATTCACTGTCACTGTTCTTATTGTAAATTATTTCAAGATCCAATACAGTATTATTACATAACAATGGGATCACAACTAAGAAGCTATTTTAAGTTAGTGTACGGTTTCTCAAATTGCTAAAACTGCTGATATTGATTTTCAAGTGATAAGGAATATGTAGGTAGTGATTGCATAATATACTTTGACATTGCTCTTAGATTTTCACAATGAAACTTGCATTAACTCATTTAAAATAAGCAATAATTTATTTTAGAATCATAATTTAAGTTTTTCTACTTTTGTTATTTCTCTTCAACCTCCAAGTATCCTTGACAATGGTCAATGTCTGCATGCATATTTTTCTAATGCCACATGGGCCTAAGGAGACATTAAATAGTAACTTATCACAAACAACATGAGATCTGACACCTTTGTATAGCAAAAATCATAATTATCATATGACCTTATAGAGATAATGATGGTTATATTTGTCTTGTCAGTTGTGTTCTTAACATCCACATAATGACATTGAAAGAATTCATATTACTTTTTCATTTCATCAATATTATTCAAACTTTGAATATTGATATATTGATTTTTTAAGAAGAGATACATATTTAACTTACATTTTTAGTTACATATTCAGTTTATGTGTTATGTTATTTTGTGAGGTTATGAAAAGTTATGCCAAAGTACCTTTTAATCTAATAATAGATTACCATGGCAATGAAGCATTCATTATTAATAGAATTTGGTTATGAAACAATCAGGCTGGTTTCATGACCTATTTAGTGTTAGTTTATCTTTTCACTGATGTTCTAGTACATATTTGTTTGTACTTATTATTTCTCTGAAACTAACCAAGTTCAGTTTGTTTCCCTTCGTCTTTGAGTTTCGTGGTTCTTTGCTCATTTGCAGCTTATTTTTGTGCATAGTCATGCATTACTCAAGTCACCTTATAATTTTGGTTTGACTTTTTCACAAAGAATGCAAGAAATTCATAATTCCACAAAATCAAGTCTGATTGTAACTCAAGTCTAGACACAGGAACAGGGTGTGAGGTTCAAAAGATCATTCTTTTATGAAACATATCTAATAGTAGAAATAAATACAGTTTCATCAACTATTAACTGAGTTTTATTATATAAAATGAAAAATAAAGCACTGCAGATTCTATACCTATTACTTTTATACTTGTCACATGATTTTTAACTTATGATGGCCAATATACAGTAATGGACAAAAGTATATAGACAAATATGAATATTTACCTAAATACCTTTAGAAAACGAATTCATACTTCATTGCTCCATAAGCAAATGCGTTATTAGTAGAAAAACTAAATTCGTTGTTTTTATATTATCTGCAATGAACAGAATACAAGTCTGAATATAAGCACTTTTTTATGAGTGGCAAAAATATCTAGACAAATTCTTTTCAACATTAGTTTAGTACAGTTTGGTGTCAGAAGAGGATTAGTTTGTGTTCATCAAGTATTGTGGAATAAGTTGAGTGATTTTAAGACCTTGACTCGTGGTCCAGAAATTTCTTTCGATGTGAAAACTAAGATCATTGAGTTATACAAAGATAGTCAACGTCAAGTTGACATTGCCAAAAATTTGAAGCTAAAGCGTAAAGCAGTTTGGGTAATATTGAACAAATATAAACCAAAAGGTATCTTGGAAGCCTCTAAGAGAAGTGGTCAGCTTAGAAAACTGAATGCTAATATAAGTTAGATTAATCAAAGTAATTTCGCCCAAAGATCCGTTTAAATCCCCATAACCAATAAAAGCTGAAATCGAGAAAAAGGAATTGTCAGTGTTTCTACGAAAACTATAAGTAGAAGATTAAATGATTTGAAGTAATTTGCACGTCATCCGAGTAAGAAGCCGCTAATCTCAAGGAAAAACTGTAAGGACGGATTACAATTTGCACACTTGCATCTTGATTGGAGCATCTGTATGTTTCAGTGACGAATCCAAGTTCAATATGTTTGGATCAGATGACTTTCATTACGTTAGACGTCCTAGTGGACAAAGATTGAACCCCAAGTACACTTTGCCCACTGTCAAACATGGAGGCGGGTCTGTTATGGTTTGGGGGTGCTTTTCGGGGTTTGGGATAGGACCTTTACATATAATAGATGGAATTATGGATAAGTTTGTATACACAGATATACTAAAGCGTGTCATGTTACCCTGTATGGAAGACAATATGCCCTTAAGATCAATCTTTCAGCAAGATAATGAACAGAAGCACACTTCAAATCTCACAAAGAAATGCTTTCTCAAATGGCCTTCACAGTCTCCCGATATAAACCCCATTGAAAATCTATGTAGCAAATTAGCCACAAACATATTCTTACTACGCAGACTAAAAACTTGCCTTAGTAATGAATGCCTTGTTAGTGTTTATTACTCCCTCATCGTCTCTCACATTCAATATGGCTTATTAATCTGGGGAAATTCTACCCATATAAATAGAGTGTTTATATTACAAAAAAAAGCAATTAGAATCCTTGCGGGAGCTGGTTATCGTGACCACTGTAGGCCACTCTTTATAAACTTGAATATGCTTACAATTTATGCAATGTACATCTATCAGAGCCTTGTTGAGATTCATAAGAACAAGCATAAATTCTCAATGCACTCGGATGTTCATGGATATAACACCAGGCATTCCAATCTACTTCAACCTAGCGCTCACAGGCTAAAGATCTCAGATAAAAACTCACTTGATGTTAGGGTATATAACAAGCTAAAAAACACTACCAAGAATCTTACTTTAAAACATTTTAAAAATACACTTTGGCAAGAATTAGTTAAACATCCTTTTTATTCCTTGAATGAGTTTATCGCGACCCCCCTATGTGTGTGATCTGGCCTACTACACCTTTATATTATATTTCATTTTATTTTTACCAATTATACTTTTATATGTATTGTATACGTCATCAGTAATTTTTATGACAAGTGTAAAAACAAATGTTTTGTTAATTGGCACGTAATATATATATATGTATGGGAATACTTAGATAAGCAAATATGAGATAAAAATTGTTCAAACAAGGATGAACTTTTTGCTGCTTTAGAGCAAAAGTGGAGACAGATTGATGAATCTTATATCAAGAAACTTCTAGAATCTATGCAGAGACGATGCCAGGCGGTGATTGATAATAATGGTCATGATACAAAATATTAACACAAACATGGTTGGTTTTCTATAATTCAATGAATTTTGCTTCTTTTTCTATAATTGTTTTGCTTTGTCTATATATTGTTGTCCTTCATACTTCCAATTTTTTTCAATTAATTTTTTATTGAAGGGAGTCTAAATTTATGTATAAGTGAGTATTATGCTATAATGAATTATGTATACAGGTTGGTGTACTAAAAAAACAAGTTAAAAAGAAATACAGCACAATATTAATTTGTCTATATACTTTTGTCCATTAGGGTGAGTTGTATAAGGAGATGAATTATAATTCTACAGTCAAGAGCTTAAGATTCAATAGTCATTAAGATTTCCAGGAAAACATATACCCTCAGGGATATAAGGATTTCTTGTCATGGATTTAATTTGTTCATTGTTAAAAAGTTGAGTTGAGTAAAAATGTTTGAGGTTTTAGAAATGTAAATAGGATGTTATAAAACATAAACCTAGAATACTATATTTTCAATTGCCAAGCATATAAATAAAAATTACCACCAATTATTTAAAATCACTTTACCTTTCAACTCTTTATTTCAGTTTTTTTAGAACAAATTAGTTACTTAAGTTTTCTCTAAAGCTGATTATATAAAAATTCTAATTGATAGGAGAGCTCTGTTGAAATTCTTATAGGTATTAACCTTGAGAAAAGATCCCGGTGATGTCCAATAACATTGGCCAGTAGCACCTGGAAAACAAAACCTGATTTTTTTCAAAACCACCAAAACAATCCTTACTAATATGGATGCTTGTTACTCAATCACACCTGGCTGTGAGATACTTCACACATTATTTATAATAATTTTAATAACACATTTGATATTAAAATGCTGAAAGCATTGCCAAAGTAACTATTGCATTACTTTGAATATTAGATTTTTTGATCCTAAACCAATTTCCTTCACACTAATGCAGAACAAATGATCTATAGTCTATACTTTACACTACTTCTACGCGGACAGAGCCGCTCGTTTAGGACAGTGGATAAATAAATTCACCATGATTAATTCTGTTCCAGCTTGTTGCCAGCTCGAAGCAATACCTGAGGCCACTGAGCAGTGCCGTATGTCAACAGACGCAGGGTAGCCAAAGAAGTCAGAGCCTCATTGAGTCCGTACAGAACAGACCAGCATTGATGCCAGCCATCCGTTCTTTCCACGCCACACAACCCACCAGAGATATCGACTCTGCAGCTAAATTCATTGGCGCTGGCGCCGCCACAGTAGGAGTTGCTGGTTCAGGTAGGTTTGAATACAGGAAAAGTAAAAGTTGTTGAGATATAGAGGTTTCTAGAAAGTTGTCTCGAAGATAGTTGACAGTCCAAAATCAATTTTTTATCAAATCGGCGGGCACACAACTTGCAACAAAAGCAGCATTAAAATTGGACTGTACTTTGATTCCATACTGAGTGCCAAATATGGAATTGTGGATTCATCAGCTTGCCAGTCAAGCATTTTGAATATTAAATTCGAGCTTTCTGATTGCATAGTCGAATTTTTAGACATACCTATAATGCTTATATAAAATAAGTGAGAAACTCAAACTTGATTAGGAATTGACAAAATTTTGCAAAGTGTATTCTTTGAACTTTATTCTTGATCTTTTGATCTATGTTATCATCCTAAGGAGCAAAGTAATTGAGATTATTGCTAAATGCTCTTAACTAAGTTAATGAGAACCTCAGCAAAGCGATGAGAACTGGATCCATATCAATACTTGTTAAAAATTTTTTTAAAATTCTCATAGCTATATGTCAAGAACACCACAATGGACTTCAAAACTTTTTTAAAATGTATCAATAATCACTCTGACTTTCACATTGTGAAGCAAATTTCACGATTTTACATCAAAGTTTGAGTTTCTCATCTAATTAGTGGTTGATGACAATGACTATGGCTTACATAAAATAAAATATATATGTAGAAAACCGCAGATTTCAATTCATAAACTATAATGAGGAAATTTCTCAAATTTTCTTTGACAAGAATTTTACCAAGGTGCTCTCATTCAAAAACCCAGTTTTGGTATATCAATTTGACATGTTATATGGGTGGTAAAACTTGAGGTTAATCTCCTGAATCGAGTTTGACAATTCGACAATAAAATTGATTTCATCAATGACATTCACTTCACAAAAATGGCAGTCACCTAGAAACATAAATCACATAAATTGAGATCAAGCTCAATTTCATGAAGTCTGGTCTAATAATGCGATGCATTCAGTCCAGCGGAATCGTCCTTTTATCCATTATTTGAATTCCTTCCTCGATTTTTTTATCGATTTCAGTGCCATTAGAAAAAGAAAAACTTGACAGGAACTTAATGAGAGGACAAAAGAATGATGTAACCTATTGCAATATTTCAGCGATAAAAGTTTGATTATATGAATTAACTAGATCTGATAAGGTCAAAATTGAGAGTACATTAATCATGAATAAACGAGATATTGTTAATTAATAATTGTAATATAACAAACAGAAAATTTATAAATACTCAGAGTAATTTCAATACACAGTTTACTTTGAGGTAAATACAAAATATAAAGCTGAGACTACAGTTCTTCTAGCATGATGATAATATTGGTTACTGGGATACTACTAAATAGATTTCCGCCTTTTTAGAAATGTGAAGATTTTGTCATTGTTAAAGCTACTACTCCTCATTTGGAGATGGTTGCATAGTTAAGTTGAACACATTTCTAGAAACCTCCACACCTTTTTCTACGCCCGTGCGTGGATTTTTTACAGATACACGGTCATCATAACACTCATATGCACATCTAACCCCCATCCCATTCTCCCCATTTCAGGCGTCGGCATTGGTATGGTGTTTGGCTGTTTGATAATAGGTTATGCAAGAAACCCCAGCTTGAAGCAACAGCTTTTCTCCTACGCTATTTTGGGATTTGCCCTCTCAGAGGCAATGGGACTTTTTTGCCTGATGATAGCTTTCCTCATGCTGTTCGCACTCTAGATTTAAGGATATAAATGTGTATACCGTGTTTATATTTGTTAATATAGCATTAAATGTTTTGCAAGCTTCACTTAGGGAATTGCTTTAAATGTTTCAGTCTGCTGTGTATTTCTGTGCTTTACATATTTCACTTGCTTTCTACCTTCATTTTCTTCTGCTGCTCTTTGGTACTATCTTGTTGGCTTCTACTCAAAGTGCCCTTGAGGATTGAAACTGAATGTTTGAACAGTGACATTTTTCTGCATTACCACAGGCATACATAGCAAAACATAAATGTCAATGGTAGACATTTTTTATTGTCTTGCAAAAAGGTCTGTAATGAGGCTCACTTTGCTTGCTGTCCTGTCTTTATCTTTGGAGCACTACCAAGATGGCTGATTGGTTTTGCAGATGTCAGTGATGATACAAATCAGCGGTAAATTATTACAGTTTATATAAAACTATGCTGTATAGATTCTGTGTGTACTAAGACTATTTGTATATCGTCGATGATACAAGAAAAAATCGTAACTCTCTTTCTAAGAATTTTAGAGGAAAGCATAAAAACAAATTGAGTTATGCATTATATTGTTTTAGGAATAATAGCATTATTATGATAAATGCAATATTATAGTTTAGTTGAGCAGTGTTTGAATGATACTTAAAGAAAGCTGAAATTTTCAAAACAAAAATGGAAAATAGGTAAAATTAGGAATTACGTGTTTTTCCTATTTTAAACGCCATATAAAGTGGAGTTACGTGGTTTTCTTGTGTTAACAACGATATGCTGAATGACTTATCATAAGAATTTGAACATAAACAACAATCTTAATATTTGGATGAAAATTATAAGACCCTTGAAGAGGGTTAAAAAGCTATATTCGCTGGTGAATGTCGTCCAGAATCTTAGGATTACAAGGTTACTCATGGTCTGGGTTGCTATGCAGTTTTGCCATTGATTCTCCTCTATATCAATATTTCTTCTTTTCTTTCAATTATTTCAATTAGATGTATATGTTAGGTATCCAGTTAACGGCACCCTTTAGTTCAAAATGATAACCAGACTATTTTTAAAGATATTTATTTGATATTTGATCTGAATTTTGTGCTCATAGTGAGCGTTTTTCCAAATATTGTTTATACATATAAAATGATCATAAAGAGTGTCGGAACTTGGAAATCAGACAAGGGTTATATGTTTTTAATTATTGCTTATTAACCTCTCATTTTAAAACACCGTTTCATGAAAACACAAGTTACACTAACCAATACGTCACAAGCATTAGGTTTGGTAAGTATTTTCATTGATTTTTCCATTAGAATACAAAATTCATATTTTTGTCACTGATGTAGTTTTGTACTACAAACATACCAAAATATCGAACGTCATCGTGACCCGTAAAACGACTTGACTTTTCGCTCAAATGGCATATATTTGCAAACTAAACGTTCAATCGTTTGGATGGAATAATATTGTTATCACTGGATATTGAAAAGTGAATATTAAAGGCCCAGTATCACATTTCTAGATTTGCCAGATCTGACACCCGATTATAACCGAGAGATGCCCTTTTAACAAATATAAATCGGCTCTTGTCGTTTTGAAGTTATTTGTCTATAATGCTCAGATGCATCATTTTTAGCTTAAGTTCAGCTTTGTTAAGTTTGACTTTTAGATCAGAACAATATTTTTTGCACCAACTTCATTTCATATCTTTCCTGAAATTTTTTTTATAAAAGTTTTTCTGGAAGACCTTTGTATAGTTTATTCACTGAAACAAAGCAGTTACGTCATATTTAGTAAATTTGAATGCCAACCTTAATGCAAAATAGATCCTAAATTGGTACGTATAGTTTGGATTTCTGGGGTACATTTATGTTGGTAAAGTTTTCTGTGCTGTGACTTGTGACATTGTCGCAAAGCTTGTCAGGATTTACGCCAACGACTGTTGTTTATTTGTGGCTTATATAGTAAATAGAATTTATACTAGATCTAGCGTTTACAAAGCATACGCTCCGTAATGTTGGTTGCGGTATCGAAGACATAAAGTAAATTTTGTAAAACGTCCTAGGATTTAGCAGTTTTAATTGATGTGGCAACCACGTGCATCACTGTCATGATTTAACGTTGTGACGTCACTGATTTGATTCAGTGAATAAACTATACAAGTGATACATAATATTACATTTTATTATAAAATAATATGTGTTTACAATAGTTTCCACAAAATAAAACCACACTTCACATTTAGTAATAGTACAAAATAATGTTTTTTGATGAAATTCGAGCTTCTTGTATTCCACACTTATGGCCAGCATGCTCTCCAATCTTATTCTCTTTAGGGCGGACAATTAATCCATAGTCCCAAAATAATTTTCTCGTTGGCAGTTCTCTCGGAAAAACATTTTAATACCATTTTTGGTGTAAATATTCCAGTTTCATTTTTTTCGTTTTGACACCATATGAATTCCATCAACGTCAACAACCAACACATGTTAAGTCGACGTTATTTAGCTTGTTTAATTTTAAGAGCAGCTTTAGAGGTCGGTGCATAGGAATTATATAGAAGTCAGAACCTGTTCTTAAGTAAGAATCTGATATACTGCCGTCATAAGCCAGATGTACATCTCTGCTTATTTCACATTTTACAGGTGCGATTAGAACGTATGGTAATCCTTCTCAAATTGTAATCTTTTAAGGACAAAGAATGCTTTTGGTTTGAACCTGTTAAAATTGATAATGCGTCTTAAAGAATTCATTCATTTTACTGAGAATGCAAATCTATAAATAAAACAAAAAGCATATACTGTAACCTCAGAACTGTCTGGACTGCTGTTTTTTTAATTAATAATACAGTATGAAACCTATAAAAATGTTAAGAGTATACTTACAAAAAATATACTAAATGACCGTCGAAAAGTAATTAAAAATATTATGAATATGGTGTGATTAAGTGTATGTCTTATAGTATCTACTAACGCCATTGCATTGGTTATAAATTAAAACAGAGTATCTGTATGGTTTCTAAGCAAGAATACAGTAAACGAGGGTCAATTACTGTTTTAATTTATTGTTGTGCAGATACTGCATTCCAAGCTCATTGTAAAAATGCTAGATATTGTAAAAGAAAATTTTTAGGTTTTCGGTGTTTATCATGACATATTGTATTTTATCATCAAAATATGCTTCTTCTACATGCCTTTCATCTCGTAATACGATATCTCATATTCAATTTTTGCACTTACCGCGTTTTGGCTTATGGCGGCAGTATACATCTTGGTGATTTGGTTTTACTTAATATTACCACCTTATTTAAAAATAATGTATTCCTGGTTGTAATTAAATTTTGATTGTGTGGGTTTTCTCTTACAGGAGCTGGTATCGGAACCGTATTCGGCTCCCTGATCATCGGCTACGCCAGGAACCCCAGCCTGAAACAGCAACTTTTCTCCTACGCCATCTTGGGTTTCGCCCTGTCCGAAGCCATGGGTCTGTTCTGTCTTATGATGGCCTTCCTGTTGCTGTTCGCCTTCTAAATTCTAACGTGAATTCCACCAAGCGCGTCGACGCAGGCGCGTTTTACATCAACATATTAAATTAATTTAAATTAGAGACAGTCGTTCAGACCAGTTAACTCTTACACGAATATGTGTCAGTTTATATGTACATCTACTACATGTAATACATGTCATCGCGTACTATTATACGAGACTTTGGGCTTACTGTCATCGTATCTATGTATAGTAAAAGAGGGTAAAATGGCACTTATTTGTTGGGGCGGTCACTAGAAAAGTGATAAGACGATGTACAGTCGCAGGATTTTTAATAAAATTTCGAAATGTTCTATAAAGCCTTGGTTATTATTTTCGATAATTGGGGCGTACATTCTTTTTTTAAGTCCTTATCCTTTTACAGTGCTGTTATTATTTTTAAAATAAAATTGTTTTCATTGAACTTGTGTATTATTTCAGTGGTATAGCTGCCTTTGAAGAGCATTTATCGGGTACTCAGTTGAGTGTTTTGTGCTAGGAATTCAGTTATTACGTTATTACTCTTTGAAAGTGATGTGTTCAGTTTGGAAGAAGTACTCATATCCTTGAAATTTATTCAAGCTTATGAAACTTACTCATAAATATGTTTAAATTGGAAAGTATATTCTGGACATCAGAAGTAACATTTTTATTGATTTGAATATAAAAAAAATAAGATGCTATGCAAATGCAGACAGAAAAGCTAAAAGTTGCCGGTGATTGAAATGGAAGAGATGGAGGGGGCACCCCACTTGATGAGCTCCATTCGGTTTCGAAAATTGAAGAGGGGGTAGCATCAAGTGCTAAAAGCATCAAATGAATGTTGCTACTTGAAAAAGGTTCTATTCTCATGTATCGATATCCGAAATAAACTATTATTCAAGAACTTGAAAAAAATCGGTTGATTTCGCATGAAAACTGGTAGTTCGGTACAATAGGATTGAAAACTGTAGATCTAACGAAAAATCAGACCTCTTCGCATCCCTAATATTTGGCACCACTGGCGTATCCAGAAAAAAGTTCAGCATTTATTGTCGACGAAGATGTCTGTCTCGGGGGAGGTATAGACAAATGAAGATTGAAGAAGTGGTATCGGCGTCTGCTGTACCAGTGCTTCTGAAAAACGGACACCTTTAAAAAAATAGCATGCTGCATTTTATATAAGGAAAACTTATTAGACCGTGGAGTTTTGGGGAGGGGGCTTGAACCCCAAAGCCCCTCTCCGACTACGCCAGCTGATCATTTAGTGACATTTAAAATATCCTCTATTGTCAAGTGAAGAGGCGTACCTCGTACTGCTTCGCACTTATACAGTGAAATCCAGATATCACTGACGTAATGTGTACGAGAGAGAGGCGTGCAATACGTGTGTTAGAAAGAGATAGAATCACCTCGTTGCCTAGCAACCGGAGTGACGAGGCTGCGGCTGGTCGCGTTGCCGGCGGAGCACTATGTCTAACATACATACGAGAGCGGTCCGATATATATGTACTCGCCGTCTGATGGCGCCACTATCGCAAGAGAAATTTACTATCGTGAGGTACATTCTCGTAGACGGTTACTGTCAAAATTTCAGCCGAATCGGACTCGTAGTTTTGTTTTGACCGCGTGTGGAAATATTGGTTGGTGATTCGACTCTTGGATGCTGTGTACGGTGACCCTTCTCCTTCGATGGCGACCGTCAAAAAAAATTGGTTCAACGAGTTTCAACGTGGTCGCACGTCGAATTTTGATGAGCCACGCCCAGGTGCCCCGAAAACAGCTGCAATGGAGGATAACCTGACAAAAATCGACGATCTCGTATTGGCAGACCGCCGATTGAAGGTGCGCGAGATAGCTGAGACAGAAGGCATCACAAAAGACTGCATGGGTCATATCCTGCATGAAATATTAGGCATGAGAAAGCTGTCTGCGCGATGGGTGCCCCGTTTGCTCACTATGGACAACAAGCTCAACCGTGTGGCCACTTCAGAGCAGTGTTTAAGCGTAATCCGAAGGAGTTTCCGCGGCCACCGTCGACGAAACATGGATCCACTGGTACACACCAGAGACCAAGGAACAGTCGAAACAGTGGACTTCTCCCGACGAACGTGCTCCGAAGAAGGCGAAAACTGTCCTATCGGCCGGAAAGGTGATGGTCATCGTTTTCTGGTATTCACTACTCTACTATGCCGAATTATTCGGTCGAGTCGACGCTGAATTTACAGGAAAAACGACCCCATTTAGGAAAAAAAGTGCTCTTCCATCATGACAACGTGCCGGCTCACACCCACGTCTTCTCCACGGCCAAATTGGTCGAATTAGGCTACGAACTGCTGCCTCACCGTATTCGCCAGATTTCACCCGTGACTTCTTTTTGCTTTCAAACTTGAAAAAGACACTCGCGCTTCTCTTCCGTACACATTCGACGTTGTCCAAATTTGAACCTCATCGTATAGGCATGCCGATGCTTTTGCGCTAGATGTTTTGCATAAAGAAATCAGACAAAATTTGGTATACAAAATCAGAAGTGAAAATAAATAAAAGTTTAACTCTTACTTGGTAAAAAAGCAATCATACGCTACTGAATGATAACCCGTTTACTATTAACTGCAAACAGTACGAAATGAATAAAGGGGCATTTGAAGTACCGTGGAAAATAGTTTTGGTACGTACATACGGACATCAAGAATGAGAGGGTAAATAAATATTGTTTCAAAATGGGACTTCAAAATGTAAATTTGCTTTGAGAAACTTTGGCTTTTCAAGATCGTATGAGGAAATTGAGAAAAAGTTCCGCATCAGTAATTCTGATCAACACTAGTTTCTTGGGTAAATTGTATACGTAGTACGATTATTTTCATATTCTCTTTTTCGCAAAATATTCGCATAATATTGGTTACTGGGGTACTACTAAACACATTTCCGTCTTTTTAGAATTGTTAAGATTTTGTCATTGTTAAAGCTACCACTCCTCATTTGGAGATGGCTGCATAGTTAAGTTGAACACATTTCTAGAAACCCGTTTACTATTAATTGCAAACAGTACGAAATGAATAAGGGGGCATTTGAAGTACCGTGGAAAGTAGTTTTGGTACGTAGATACGTACATCAAGAATGAGAGGGTAAATAAATATTGTTTCAAAAAGTGACTTCAAAATGTAAAGTTGCTTTGAGAAACTTTGGCTTTTCAAGATCGTATGAGGAAATTGAGAAAAAGTTCCGCATCAGTAATTCTGATCAACACTAGTTTCTTGGGTAAATTGTATACGTTGTACGATTATTTTCATATTCTCTTTTTCGCAAATATTCGCATGAATTTCAAATGCGGATGGAAATATCAAGAAACTTGAGAATATTTTAACTTGATTACTTCGGAAGGACACACCCTGAATCCGAAAATCACATTTTGTTACTCTAAAACGGACCTGCAATACTTTAGAATTTTTCATGGCCTTATTCGCAATCAGCGCTACAAAATACCTCACTTTCGTTCATATGTAACGACTGGCTAAGAAAATCCGAATTTTGTCTTTGGAATTGTCTGCTTCTAAGAACGAATGGCGGAAATCTTAGTAGCTTCAATTTTTTAAGGTACCTACATTAAGGTTTTTTTATACTTGAACCACTACAAAGGCCCAAACTCCCATGGATACCGTGGGGCTATAGGGGGATACAGGGAAAAGGGGAGACGCCACACGGACTCCACTGAGGGAACAGGTGTGCATGCAATATGCATACATTCTGGCCCCGTCTTAAAGATCCGCTGGGTGGTTCCGCTGCGGACACTCACAAAACACACAGCTAAGAGGAAAATTCTCTTGGAACGGGATTAGGAGGCCCATAACATCTACCACTATGACACTGCTGCTGCCTAAAAAGTGGGAAGATTTTCAAAAGCTCTTTTATATTTGAAATTCCGATCAAAATTTCTTGGGGTACTCAACCTCATTCTTAATTGGGTGCCAATCTCATGTCAGTATTTTGCTGAGAACGACTATAGCCTATAGCTTTGCTTTCTGTTATAAGTAAGGACTACCTCGAACGTCACGGCTTAATTAGCGACAGGCAGTATGGTTTCCGGCACCAGCGATCCACAGGGAACCTTCTAGGTTACGTCACGCAATTGTGAAGTAAGTAAGTTATGGTACGGCTCATGTCGTTGCTCTTGATACGACGAAAGCGTTCGATCAGCTGTGAAATGCTGCCCTCCATCTAGGCATCCCAGAGCAGCTTTGCAGATGGGTGGCTGACTTTCTCTCTGGCCGCAGAATATCCGTCGTAATTGACGGGTTTATAATTCATCCTACAACGTCAACGCGGGTGTTTCCCAGGGATCGGTCTTCGCTACGACAATGTTCCTCTTACATATCAACGACCTACTTTCCTGTACGATGAATTCAAGTCACAGCTTTGCTGACGGCAACACTCTACATACAGGTATTCAGAGAGACAAGCCGAACTCTGCCTGTGAGCTGGAAAAAAGAAGACTAGCGGCGACTTTCCTCTGACGATAGACCTGGAAGTTATCACTGCTTGGGGACGTAACAATCTTCTACAGTTTAGTAGCTTCCAAAACACAGTACTGTACCCTGACGAACAAAAAGCGCCCTAGTGCTCATCCTATTTCGATGGGTGGCCTAGTTCTGCCAAAGAGCCATTCATTTCGACTGGTCGGAGTCCAGAACACCGAGGATTTAATCTGGCACGAATACATCTCGTGGTGGATAGCGGCAGTAGCTGTGAAAAAGCTAGGCTGTTTGTTTAGGGCTAAGAAGTAATTTTTTCTACATGCCCTCCTCATTTTATACAAGGCCTATATAGGACCTAGGTTCAAGTATTGCTCACACGTTTGGACTGCTGCCGCCCCGACTACGTTATCCCATCCTCGATGCTATCCAGTCCGACTGGTCAATGACTCTCCTCTAACAGCCAGTCTCGGGACCCTTTCGCACCGGCGGGCTGTCGGCGATCTAGCTCTCTTCTAACGCTACACCAACGGGCTTTGCTCCTCAGAGCTCTCTTCCATGATGCCGCCGCGCGATTTACCTGCCAGACAAACAGGCCTTCGGCCTCAAATCCTAACCGTGTCGAACTTCGTACATCCCGAGCTGGCCGATACGACCGCTCCTTTGTCCCTAGGGTTTCGAGATTGTCGAACAATCTACAAGAGGAGGTTTTTCTCAGTTCCAGTAACCTTAGGCAGTCCAAAAATAGGAATAACAAAGTTTCTTTGGGATCCTGATAGCACGCGGTGCCCTTGTTCATTTAAGCTTATGCTTGCGCGGCTACTTCAATATAAAAAAAAGGTTTTTGTTTCTTTCTTTCTTCGAATTTTACCCCGCCCCCTGGACAAATTTTGATATGTAGCGTCAGAAGCCAGCTTCGCCACTGATAGTTGTGAACAGTTAACCAATTCACTTTGAACATGCATAGATTTGGATTACACTTTTTTGACGATTGATTTGCCAGCTAAATTTGACAGTTGCCAACTGTTTGAAAACCATTGCTAGAACATGTCTATAATGAGAACCCTAAAGAACTATGGGTTGACAGAATATATATTTTCTCTGAAATAATCCGGAGAGCCGACCGTAGTCTGCCGGTTGGTTCTTCAGCTCTCAGAGGTGAAAGTATCTTGCCTTTGGCGCCGGTCTAAGCTCGCCGGTACATTGCTGGGGCCGGGGTGCGGCCTCTTGGTAAGGACACCCACCACCATCATACCCATACCATACCGTACCACACAACTGCATTTGCACCGAGATACCAGACATTGTCGTATAGTTCTTCATTCGCGCAATACTACGACACATTCACATTGAAAATGATGGAGCGCTACTGCCACAGCTGTTCGCGCGTACTTGTACTTTTGGTGAGTCTTATTTATATTTTTATTCATGCTATCATTTGATGTAACGTTTCCGTATCCTTTGCTGTAAAATTTTACGTCTATCAGATATTTCATCAGATATAGGTTAGTGTTTAAAATGGTGGTTTATTTTTAGTCTTTGCGGTTAGTTCATATCTTTATGACATAAAGGCTAAAAGGTCCACACTGGACCGCCTTGAAATTCAACGACCAGTAGTAGTACTGTGTAGTATGATAATGGTTTTTCAGGATGCCTGGAGTCGTGAAAATCCATATGTTCTCGTTTGCACTTTTGCTTTTTGATTTCGCGTAGTCACAAAAAATACTTACTTCAAAATTTGTCAGTGCAAAAATATAAGCCGCTGAATGCTACCTGCTATTTTTTTCGAATAACACAAAAAACAGCAAAAGCAATTATCAGTTTTTTAGCTTGCCTATCAAAATTAACCTTTACGATGAACAAATCAAATTCTTTTTTTCAGCTATTTTTGGAAGGTAGAGTCATGGCATTTTTGTCAGTAACTTTTTTTGACATCGCTTATTCTGAAATAAAAAAATATTTAAGGCGTTGAATTTTTTTTATGGGTTTATTCCTGTCTGCACAGATTTAACCCTCACAATCTGTATCATCCACATACGTGTTCGTTTTCTTTCTTTTTTGTTTGACTCTGATGTTCCTGACCAACAAGAAAGCTTCAAAGAAACTACAAGAAATTTCTGTTTCCTGAAAAATACTAATGTTTACAAAGATATATTATGATTTTAAAATATCTCCACTCTATCTAGTTTTTCTCTAGCTAAACAAAAGGTCTGAAAGACGAATTTTAATATTTCGAATATCTCACGACATAGGAAGTATTTTAAGAAGCATTTATTCACAATTTGTGCTTTTCCCAGTTGGTGATTGACATTTTACTGATTTTCCATAATAGATACGTAAAGTACATTACGATCGGGCCTTGATCTCTTCTATAAAGAGATATATTTATCGACATAGATCCATTCAGTCATGGATTGGAATGCGAATAGCTTTGGATTCAGAGGGTGTGGGCCTTAAAAATAATGCCAGTTCATGGTGCATTGAAGAAAAAAATACAAATACCGGTGTTGACGGATTGCCTTGAATTTGATCTGTAGCTTTATTGCTAATAGCACACGTATTAGTAAAGTACAATAATTAGTAACACTGCTCCGTTAAAGGTTGGTAAATTGTTACACAATTACAGAGATGTAGTTTCAAATATTATTTTTTCTTACTTCTGACGTTTTATTCTGATTATGTTTCGATCAGTTCATCTTAAATTCGAAATTCATTACTCCTAAAACTTATCCTGTGGTTTTCATGTTCATAGCAGGACTTCATTATCAGGCCAAATAAAACCACATACTGCGCGTGTACGAGAGAAAAACGTGCAACTCTTAGGTTAGAAAGAGAGAGAGAGAGAGAGAGAAAGTGAACAACACGTTATCTGGCCACGACAGGAAGGAAGCTCGCTCTAACATATGTGTTGCACGCGTCTGTCTGTCTGTCTGTCTCTCTCTCTCTCTCTCGTACACATTGAAACCTGGCCGACCTCAACCTTAAATGATTTGTGCGGTATACATTTATTGTACAATTTATTTTAAAATCACTAAAGCAAACCTAATTTGACTGTACCAGTAACAGATACGAGTAGAAATTTGCGAGTTGTGGTATCATTTTAGTGGGGTTGTCCTTGGAGTTATTCGTAAGATATGAGTGGCAAAACTCTTGAAAGGATGTGTGAATTTCTACGCTGTTCCCATGTATCATGTAGGTACTTATTTTGGAAGATAAAATGATTACAACATAGATAGCTAGGCAGAGGCGCGGAAATTCATGGATTCTTAATCTTTCTATAAGACTATAAGATCAACCAATCAGTTAATAATCAATGATAATACATACTTGAAACTGAATCTGAATGGTACTGGATCATTTTTATTTTCGATGGCAAAAAAAACTGTTTTTATGATTTCGATTTAATTTCTATTGTTTGGTAAATGTGCCAAACAATTTGTTTTTCAGCTTCGTCGAGCTTAAACTGTGATAATTTGTCACTACCAGGAAAAAAGATGCTATGGTCGCGACTCTTATGGTTATGACTATTTTGAACCAAGGCTATTTGGTCTATATTGTTAATCAATTTGCATGATTTATGACACATCTTGCCCAACTAATACTTGCTACAAGTAAATATAAATAATTATCTCAAATTTTGTAACCACGGTTGTGACGTGTATGCTTGACCAATTCTCAGAAACACACAAAACAAATTCGGTTCAGAAAAAACTTTTCTCACTAAATTGGTGAATTGTTTGACATAAGAAGCGTCATTAGACCTAAACCAAGACGAACTGTTGCCAAAGAAATAGTAAAATCTGTTGTTTTTTAAGCGATTAAAAAATGAGTAATTATCGTAACAAGAAAGATATGACAACTTTCACATCATGTATTAATCAAAGAAATACCGCGTTTTTTTAAAGTACAAAGTGATATTCCTTCTTGTGTGAAGCCACGTATGTTTCATATACTGTTTACTGATGACGACGTTTCGGCCACAACGGTGACCTTTTTCAATTACAATTTGACGTTTCTGACTATATATTTTTGTAGCTGAAAACAGGAGAAGTTTTAGGTGATACATTTACCTGCCTGTAACAATTTTTTCGCTGAATATGAGGATGACTATTACACTGTACCCATGTACTATGGATAGTTATATCAATTGTCAGAACATTACGTAGGTATAGGCTTAACAATATTACTATTTCTTATTTGAATTTCTTCATCAATTATATTTCAGAGTTTGACACCCTGTAGGTATCATTATTTATTCGATATATATGTATGTATGTTTCCCAGTTTCAATTTGCCAAGGTAAAAGATTAGTGATTACGGTCTACTAGCATTTTGACTCTTGTACGCTTACAACGTGCGCGACCTTGCTCTTACTTCTTTTTAAAATCCGTAACGTGCCTTTGAGAACGAGTTTTATCTACATTTTATAGCACTGATCGTAGGTTATTCGTTTCATAGTAAGCACAGCTTGGAGAATTTATTGAGATCGTTCTGTTGAAGATCGAATTATTAAACGCAGCATTATTTCGGTGATTCGAGTGATTTGTGGCTTAACAAAAAATGGACAAAGCAGATTGAATTATCAGTTTTTACATATTTCCAGTTCCAAAAACGAAGAAGGAACACCTTAAAAAATTTTTACAAATCATATCTACATAACTATGTTTGATATTTTTCTTTCTATTTGCATTTAATTTATATAGTCTTCCACGACGATTTGATAATTCATATGGATATGGAAGCCTACTGGGATTACTTTTTTTTAAAACATTCAGGCGATCCAAATGTAATGTAGAAGAAATTGTGCAGAATGATTTATATATTCTTTAGAGTCAATGCAAAGGCTTCTCATCTCGAAATAAAAAATTCTTTGTAACTTTTTTTATCAAACTTCAAAGTAATAAGTCCATAGGGAAAAGGGTGAAAATACCTTTAAAATAGGTATGTCCAGTTCGTTGCAACAGTTAATTGGTTTTTGCAAAAAATCATTTATTTTTGACAAACAGTGCATAAGATTAAATATGAAATATTATACAAAAGTTGTTGCAACAAATTAGACATAGAGGGTGACTTTCTAGGATCTGATTGGAGAATATCTCCATTACTATCAAACAATCAAAATGTAATTTACAAAAATTGTGGTCTATTTGGAATATAATGCTCCCTACAGGACGATTCATATCGACATGACAACAAAAACATTTTTTTCAATGGAACAGCGTGCAATCTTTTAGTATAATCTAATATGCCACTTCAAAGGGAGAAGTTTTGATATAGTCGTTGGTATACTCATATACTCATTCCTTTACACGACGTGTAGATCTTGAAAACATAAGCAATTTTTCTTAGCACCATATACACCAATGTCTTAAGGGAACCGAGATAAAGGGCTCTGCAACATCAAAAATATCTGAATACCGTCCTATAGCAGCGACATCCCCGAGTGGTACTAGGACACTAGCTCAACGCGACGACAGAACTGGGTCGGGGTCAGTGTGTCAGGTCAGTATGCAACCTTCAACCGATGGTTACGGTCACGCGTCTAGAGGTAATCGCGTAGACGAGAATCCCTCAACAAACACTAGAGACGTGGCTAGAGAAGTGCAAGTATCAAAAACTAAAGTGTGGCAAACGCTGTGTGAAGAGGGGCTGTATCCGTTTCACGTCCAACGTGTACAAGGCCTTCAACCTGACGATTTTCCAGCAAGAGTGCGGTTTTGTGAGTGGTTGTTGCATCAACATGACAATAATCCGGACTTTTTGAAGTGCATATTGGTGACAGACGAATCTACGTTCACGCGTAATGGGGTGAATAACTTTCGCAACACATGTTTGGTCATTACGCAACATTTTGCCTTCCTTGTTTGCCTGCGTCTGCTCGGTAGCGCATCAGCTGATTTCATTTTCTGTTGGAGCGGTATGATTTCGGGCAGAGACGTACTTAGCCCTTCTCGTCAACTGGAGAGTGAGTACTTTTTCCTTTATTTTTTTTTACTTGGTGGCCCTCGTTTCACTACACATTACCTTTGTTATTTCAAGGGTAGTTGTTTCTGAAAAGGAAAACCCCAACTTTACGGACACCCTGTATTTATCGTATATTCATTGACTGTGTAGCCTTGCCGTCAGTGATTATTGATGCATAATGTTACTCAGAAATCCACTGATGGTACGGACCACAGTAAATAGTAATCGTGTGATATTCGCTTCACCGTTTCTGAGATCTCAAAGGCGAGGTTCGAACTTGAAACACACGTAACATATATAGTGCTTTTAGCAAAATTAAGTTTATATCTAACATAGATTTTAACTGATCCTAGTATTTTCTCATTTAATAGATATTGATTCAGTGGAGAACCCTGTACATGAAAATTTTAATTTTTGTACAAAATGTTCTCTTCTTTTC